TCACTTCTAAGGAGTGTTCGTCTATACTTCTTCCAAGACTTCCAGAAGTCCATGGTTCTTTCAATAATTTTCACTAATACCATAATTCAAATGCATCAATTCTTCTCCAGTTTTCCTTATTAATTTTCCAGCTTTCACATTCATATGAGGTGATTGAAAATACTATAGCTCGGGTCAGGTACACTTTCATCCTGAAAGTGACATCTTTGCTCCTTAATACTTTAAAGAAGTCTTTATGTTATGTCCAATACATCTTTTAACTTCTTGACTGCTGCTTCCATGAGCATTGATTCAAGTTAAACAAAATCCTTGACAACTTCAACCTTTTCTCCACTTATAATAATGTTTATTGGTACAGCTATGGTGATTTTGTTTTGTTTTTTAACGTTGAATGATATTCCATTCTGAAGACTGCCATCTTTGATCTTCATCAGCAATTGACTCAAGTCCTCTTCACTATCAGCAAGCAAGGTTATATCATCTGTATATCACAGGTTGTTAATGAGCTTTCTTCCAATGCTGATGCCTTTATTCTTCATATAATTCAGCTTCTCAGATTATTTGCTCAGCATACAGATTGAATAAGCATGGTGAAAGGATACAACCCTGACACATACCTTTCCTCAATTTTAACCATTCATTATCCCTTTCTTCTATTCAAACAATACCTTTTGATCTATGCACAAGTTCCACATGAGTAAAATTAAGTGTTCTGGAATTCCCATTCTTTACAATATTATCTATAGTTTGTATGATCCAAACAGTCTAATTATTTTGTATAGTCAATAAAACACAAACATTCCCCAATTTCAGCCAAGAGCCATCTAATATCAGCAATGATGTTGCTTGTTCTATGTCTTCTGAATCCAGCTTGAATTTCCAGCAGCTCCTGGTTCATGTACTGTGTTTGATATCACTGATATTGTTTTATAATTTCCACATTCTGTAGGTCTCCTTTCATTGGAATGGGCACAAATATAGGTCTATTCTAGTCAGTTGGTCAGGTATCTGTCTTCCAAATCTCTTGGTATAGACTAGTGAGAGCTTCTAGTGCTACATCAGTTTGCTGAAACATTTCAATGGTATTCCATCAATTTCTGCAGCTTTGTGTTTTGCTAATGCCTTCAGAACAGCTTAGACTTCTTCCTTTAACATTATCAGTTCTTGATAATATGCTAAAAGCCCTAGTGGCACTATAGGACAAGCACTGGACTGTTAGCAACATGGTCATCAGTTCAAAGCCACCAGCCCCTCTGCAGGAGAAAGATTATGCTTTCTGATCCCATAAAGACCCTATATAGGTAAATAGTGATGCATGCTCAACCCTGGAGCAACAGGACTCTGTGATACAGGAAACTAGGCATAGTTTGAAGAGGGGGACTAATATTAAGATGCTTGACTGCCTATTATTGTAAAATAGACACTTGAGTGGGATGGATAGGAATGTCAGGAAGCATGAGTACAGAAAACTTGTTAGCCCATCTTCAGTCTATAGCTGATTAGAATACCTAAAATGGGTTCTAGAACTTGCCCAGTGAAATAGGCCTCTTGTGTAGCCTTTACAGAGTACAGGACCTTAGGTGGAATCCTCCTGAGTCCCATCCAGAACCACTTAGCCCATGCAAACCTGTCTCAGTGTTCCCCTATCTACCTTATTTTTCCACCCCTCCCCCTTCTTGCATTGCCCTCCCCAACACCTGAACTATAATATGTCTGTCCTCACCCTGTGCTCTACCACCACCTCCCTACACCTCCCTATACCCCGCTAACCCCACCATTGTGATTACCTTATAGTTCATTAACTTTTCCCTCCATTTAGTGCAGTCTGTTTTCTCCTGTAATCTACCTGATCTTCTCACCACCTGGATCTCTGTTCCTATGTGTTTTCACACTGTAATTCTTTTGATCATAGACTGACCTCCCAGATCCTCTGAATTTGTTCTTATAGTTTTATTCTGTTCTCAACTCTTCCTTTTTCTGATTGACTTCCGGGTGATACTGCCACATACTTCAATCTCTGGTTGTTGTCTGTTCTTGTTGCTTCTCAGTCCACAGAACTCCCTGTAGGATATTTTTCATCACAGGGTTGGCTTTGGCAAAATCCCTTAGCTTCTGTTTATCCTGGAGTGTTTAGATTATACTATCATATTAGACTGACAACTTTGCCATGGTATTTTCAATAACCTCAGATGTATGCAGTTCAAGCTCACCAGCTGCTCCTCAGAAACCATATATAGGGTTGCTATATGGAGTTGGATCGGAACCAACTCCACAGCACTTATCAACAACATGCAAAAGTTGGACAGTGAATAAGGAAGATCATAGAAGAATTGATGCATTTGAGTTATGGTGCTGGAGGGGAATATTGAAAGTACCATAGGCTGCCAAAAGAACAAACAGATCTGTGTTGGAAGAAGTGCACCCAGAGTGCTCCTTGGAGGCCAGGATGGCCAGACTTCATCTCTCATACTTCGGATATATTGTCAGGAGGGACCAGTTGCTGGAGCAGGATATCATGCTCGGTAAGATGAAGGGTCAGAGAAAAAGAGGAAGACCACAGCAAGATGGAGTGGCAAAGTGGCGGCACCAATGGGCTCAAGCATGGCAACAATTGTGAAGTTAGCCTAGGACCAAGAAGTGTTACATTCTGTTGTGCATAGGGTCACTATGAGTCGGTGACAACCTAATGTCACCTTACAACAACAACAGAAACAACATTCTTCTCTTTTGTTCATCGTGTTCTTCCTATTTGTTGTTGCTATGTAACATTGTCTTCCTCCACTCTCTGGGTTTGCCTCAGAATCACTTTTGAAGGTTTTAAGCATGCCCGTGTTCATTTTCATATGAGTGCGCTTTAGAAATCAAGTGTTTCTTCTAAAACTGAAAAATAATAGAATCCAATCGTTTGAAGGGACCTTACAGTATATCTACTACCAAACCAGTTACCATTGTGTCTACTTCAACATGATGACCCATGTGTGCAAAGTGGAACTGTTCCACAGGGTTTTCAAGAGTGTGACCTTGTAGAAGCAGATTACCAGGTCTGTCTTCTGAATGCCCTTTGGATGGGCTTGAACTGCCAACATTTTGATAAGAATTCCAAGCTTAACTGTGTGAGCCATCAATGCTGTATATAGCTTACCACTCTACTGGAATCTTAAACTAAATAGGTCTTTTTTATCTTGCTCTCTAGAACTTTTCAAATATTTTCTGACAGTTATCATTTTCTCCACCAGATTAAACATTATGGTTCCTTCAACATTTGCCATATAGCATGGTTTCTAGACCCTTCTCCCTTCTAATGATTGGATATGTTGCTTTGGTCATATCTTGTTTTATCAGCATTTTGTTTCAATAGTAGAAACATTTGCAAAGTAAACCAAATGGTGTCCAGAGTCTGATCCAACTGAAGTAGAATCCAGACCTCCCTAAATGAAGACACACTGGAATGAACAAGTAGAGATAGAGGCATTGGCTGTTAAGTGGAGCAGCTGACACAAAAGGCCAGGGCCCTCTTTGGCAGGAGTGAAAGAGGACTCATTGATGAAAGCAGGAATGCCTAGCAAAGGAGGAAGCCCACATACTGCTACACTTCCTAGTACGTCATGTCTCAGTTTACATTTTTCCTTTTTTGCTTCTAGTTTTCTAACCTCAGGTAAGTTGGTGGTTTGTGCAAAATAGCACAGAGTCTAGTTTACTGTACTACAGAGGAAGATAGATTGTCTTCTGTGCTGAGCTCCTCTAATTCTCATGCTCAGACACTGAATTCACAAAATCACAGAATTATAACTACCAGCAACCTTATCTAATTAGATTACCTAATTCTGGTAATGGAAGTGTCCAGAATGTAAGCTTTTGCCTAAGATTATATAACAATTTAATGGCAGAGCCAGAACTAGAAATTCTATCTTTTTCCAATCTATCATCCTGTCTCTCTTTTCAGTTAGTTTACCACATTCTTTGACCACCGATTACAAAACGAATGAAGAAACTAACACTGCTAGTCCTAAAGTATGCAAGTCAGACTAAGGCAGCATCTCTATTGCACAAGTGCTTTGAAAGCATTGGGGAAAGAAAGTTATTTGCACATTACATTTGACACAAGTCCAGGGGGTGAAGCAATCCATCATTTTGTTTGAAGGGTTCAATTATCTATCCTTTGCCTCCAAGCCTAAACTTTACAATATATAAACTGTTGCAATGGATGGTTTAAAGATAACTTCTTATAACTGTGCACTAGGAGAGTCAGTGTAGACACACACAACCTGTGACTCTCACCTTCCACACTGGAGGGAATCACTTCATTGAGGGGATGCTGTGAAAGGAAACTTCCTGAACCAGGTCACCAGGGCTCACGGTATCAAGATTTCCGACTTAAATCATTAGTCTGCCACCAATTTAGAACCATCAAATTTAAAGCTTTATGGGAACACAGAAATAACCTAATTCAATAAAATCGAGACCCACGATTGACAAATTTATCAAGTGCATCAGGGTTTCACTCTTAATTGCTTTTCTGCATGTATTGTGATTATTTCCAGCATACCAGTTCTTTGTTCAACTGATTCTCAGAATAGGGAGACAGGAGTTTACATTTAACATTCAACACTACTTCATCATAAGATTGGAGGTAACATCTCCTTTATTTAAAAGAGAAAGGGAAGGAAGTGGTCTAAGTCATATCTGGAAAGTCACTACTAATTATAATAAATATCAAGCAAATAGAGATGTGAAGGATATTACAAATAAGCAAAACTTAAGAAATATTGCTTCTAACCAACTGGTAGGAAAAGGTGGCAAACTTTGAAATGTTCCAACAGAAGTAGGTTCTTGTCTACTATTCTCATCTGAGCTATACTGCAAATCAGAATTTTACACTAGGAGTACTCATAGCAAAGCTAATGGGAAATGACTGTGTAAGTAAGTCATGAAAAAAATAACACCCCACTTCCAAACAGCTGAATTTCAAGACTCTGACAAATCAATAGGATAAAATAAAATCAAAGTAACTGAGCTAGTTCATGCAATTCCAGGTGACTGAAAGCTTCCCAGGGACAAATCACCGTAATGTTTGCAAGAAAGGGAAAAGGAACATGAAGCCAATGTCACCTTATTTCCAATAGCTCACTCTGTGTCCTCAGATTGCCACTTTAATTCCTCTATGTCTCAGATTTCTCTTCTGCTCAAAAAGACATCTTTCAGGCAGAGACTAGGAGGCAATCTAGAATAGTCTTGCAGTCTAGGAAAAATTCGACAATCATTTATTTTTCCTCTGCACTGCTCTGTCTCTCCTAGAACATAGCCCTCAAGAATCTCTATTGGAATCATTTAGCATCCTCTTTGGGGAGGTAATCCACAGTTTTTTAATGAGACCACCCTATGGGTTCATTGATGATACAGAGTCTCCCCAAGCCACTAAGAAGTAAATTCTAGCCAGGTCAAAGGCTAAAAGTAGAAATGGATACTCTTCACAAAACCCCTATGGTCTGGAAATCCAGTTTCCTAACCCTTTACCCTCCAGATAGATTTTTTAAGCTTCTTTAACTTCTTCTTCATTTACTTCATATTTTGAAATATCTATATCCAACGGTGTGTTGTTGTTAAGTGCTATTGAGTTGATTCCCACTCATAGAAACCCTACATATGGTTTCTGAGAACTGGCTGTTAGCAATTCAGTGCTTATCCTACAGTACCACACTGGGACACTTACAGGTAATCTAAAGACTTTATCCAATTCAGCCCTTTGTTTCAGGCAAGATATTATCCCCCAGTTATGCAGAAGCTGACTGACACCTATATAGATGTTAAACTCATTCCAGCCATTAAGTTCATACCAACTTATAATGACCCTATAGGACAGTGCAGAACTGCCCCATAGGTTTTCCAAGGCTGTAATTTTTACAGAAGTAGATTGGCATAACTTTCTCCTGCAGAGTGGTTGGTAGGCTTAAAATGCTGACTTTTTAGCAGCTGAGCACTTAACCACTGTGCCATTCCTTGGAGAACTTAAACAACTGGCGAGAAAATCACACAGCTGTAGAGAGGGGCCTAGGTCCCAGGTCAAGAGGCTTCAAGCCTTCCTTCACTATAAATTTCTTGACTTTTCCAAATACTTTGGCAGAGTTAAGCATAGCTTCCAGAGTCTAAAGTGAATTTGCTGGTCGTATAGTCCTGGTGTGACACTGTGGGTTAATGCGCCAGACTGCAAAGTCATTTGAACTGCAAGGTCGGTGGTTCAAGCTCACCAGCTGCTTCTAGGAAACCTTATACAGGGTTGCTATGGGTCAGAATCAACTCAAGGACACTTAACAACAACATAGAACTTTACAAAATACGGAAGTGTTTTTAGAAGAATAGCAAATCAACTTTATGAAGGGACTGGAATAATTTATTTAAGATCCCATGAGTGGCAACAAAACAAAGCAATTGCACTGAGAATTGCCTGGTAAGAACACGGATTACTTGGAGAGCAGCCATTTAACAATGGCCCCCTTCTGAGTGGTAGAGAACATGTAAAAAGAGGAAGTTCGTACAGGGAGTGGTTGGCCTGGAGGCACGGAAAAATCTTCAAGGCCCCACCCTTATTTCCAAAAGCTCACTTAGTGGCCTCAGATTAAATTCCTCTGTGTCTCAGATTTCTCTTCTGAAAAAAGAAAAAAAGAGCTTGGGCTATACTGACTCTGACAGTCTTTCTCCCAGGAAGGTTTACACTTCACCATTATATACTCTCACAAGTGGTTGAACAAATCAAGACCCGTTCATTAAACTTTGAGCCTAACTAGATTTATTTAATTTACTTATTTGGGTCTTTTGCATCTAGTCACACACTTACTTACTTAGGAAGCTGAATTAAACACATACATTTCTATGTTCTCGAAGAATCTTCTGCATAAATTATTTCTTAAAACTTTCAACTGTTTCTTGAAGCTTTAAGTATAAAAGAGATAGACTTCCCAAGACTCAAGTCCTCACTTAAACCCTTGGATGGCTCACCTGTTCCTAGTCCCTCCATGCCTGGAATGTCATCACCAAACCTATGGAAAAGCAAACAAATAAATGAGAAATTCACTGAGATCAGAATAAAAGGACCCTGGACAGATTGATTCATTTGGAGAGTTTCCTGATTCCAGGGAGGGAAAGAACAAGAAGTTTAGGTTTTTATGTTTGTAAAACACCTGTAGTTTGCAGAAACTCTGGTAGCGTAGTGGTTATGAATCAGGCTGCTAACCTCAGGGTCAGCAGTTTGAAACTACCTAGGGCTCCGTGGGAGAAAGATGAGGCTTTCTGCTTCCGTAAAGATTTACAGCCCCAGAAACCCTTTTACAATGTAGTTATGGGTCAGAATCGACTCAACAGCACTTATCAACAACAACAGGTCAGAGAAAGGAGCTCTGGTAGCATAGTGGTTATGAATCGGGCTGCTGACCTCAAGGTCAGTAGTTCGAAACTACCAGCTGTTCCATGGGAGAAAGATGAAGCTTTCTGCTCCTGTAAAGGTTTACAGCCTTGGAAGCCCTGTGCAGGGTCACTATGAGTCAGAACCAACTCCACCTTACTTAACAACAACAGATCAGAGAAAATGGCACACAAGCAGGATTTATACAATGTGTCCACTGGAGAGCTATTTGTCCCCTATGAAAACTTAGTCTGAGACAAGAGCCAAAAAGAATTACCAGTGGAAGAATTTAATCAAGATTCAGTTTTCAAAATAGAAATTAGAATGAGAAAGTAATATGGAAGGCATTAAATAATGATTAATTCATCATTTGATTCTGAATTCAGTGACTTATCCAAAAGCATCTACTAAACATCTACGATGTACCAGACATTATATTTGGTACAAAGACTTGAGGTTCTGCATTCTAGAATAGAGCACAGGGTGTGTGGACTAAGGAGAACATTCAGTCAAAAAAACTAGAAGGCCAAGTCCGAGGAGATTGTATTACCCATTTGCCAGGTTAACTTTGGCCATAGACCTGGGAGTGGAGATAGAATCCCAGGGCTAAAGACATGATGCAGCAAAGCTGAGTTAGAGAGGGAAACAGAGGACAGGGTGGACATTCTGTAAGTCTGTTAAATATTATAAGCATTACTACCTCCAAACCAAAGCAGTCTTGGTGGGGGGAGGCGTAAGGAGTACAAGAACAATACAAAATCTCTTTTCATCTTAGTCTGACCCTTTCACACCTTTTTTAGAAGGTTTGCTTTTGAATTGACGGGTTTGTCTCTGCTTGAACTTTGGTGGGCCTTTGCGTGGGGTGGTGGGACCCTGGTTTGAAGTTGGAGGAACCAAAGCAGTATTGTCACTCATTCTGATGGTTCTTGGGTAGCTGATGTTTTCCTTTCAGGAGCCTTAGACAGTAAATGAGAGAAAATAAGATTCTTTAAGATAAAGGGATCTTTAGTTAGACTTTCACTATAAAGCAGCAATGAAAAACGCTTTGCTAGAAAAGTTCAGTGTTTTTGTTGATACAAAAGGGAGAAGTTAGCTTTCAATGGGATTTTTAAGAAAAAGATGATAATTTTTTATAATCAGTGGAGTGTAAACTGACAATTCATGAAAACTAAAAAAATCCAGGTAGATTGCCACTGATTTTCTTTGTGATCACCAATGTTCCCATCTGTAAAGAGAGGGAAATAATCTAATTGATATCCATAGTCTTTTACCACTCTCGTATATGTTCTTAAGCAGCTGTTGTTATGTCAATTTTAACTCATGGCAAACTCATGTGTGTCAGAATAGTATTATGCTTCATAGGACTTTCAATGCCTGATTTTTCAGAAGCAGACCTCCGTGCCCTTATTCCAGGTGCCTCTGGGTAGAATTGAACCTCCAATCTTTGGGCTAGCAGCAGATCACATTAACCATTTGCCCCATATAGGAACTTTTCTATGTTCTGTAAGTTTTATATATTCTTCCATCCAACTACAAAATGATGTTGTAGGATAAGCACTAGACCTCAAAGTTGGTTTGAACTGTAAGGTTGGCAGTTCAAAATTCACCAGTAGCTCCTCAGAAACCCTATACAGGGTTGTTATGAGTTAGAACTAACTCAACGGCACTAAACAACAAACAAATGTTTATTGAACACATTTTATGGTCTTAGTTCTTTATTTAAAAACCCACTGCCACTGAGCCAATTCTGACTCACAGACATCCTGCAGGATACAGTAGAACTCCCCCCACAGAGTTTCTAAGACTGTAATCTTTATAGAAGCCAATGCCACATCTTTTTCCAATGGACTTGCTGGTGGGTTTGAACCACCAACCTTTTGGTAGCAACTAAGGGTTATCCATGCATTAGCAGTTCTTTATAGACATTTTATGGCATCTTCACAGGCTGAGTAGACTTCTCTCCTAATTCTCAAGGATGACAATGTAAGCATCTAGCCAGAAGAACTCAGAACCAGGGTTACCAACACTCATAAATATATTCAAAATGCTCATCCAAGAAATACCTTCAAAAAGTAAAGTTAGTGCAGGAGGATAGTGCTTTAACTCTTTCTCCATTTAGGAGGCTCTTTAGCATGACATTTCTCAGAAATTTCAGCTTTTTCTCCTGTTCAGCTCAGTCTTCCCAGAATTTCATTTTGACTGCAGAAATGTACATTGTCATTCTTCATTTGCAAATTAAAGTAAATCATTGCTAAAGATATATATTTTTAAGGAATATGCTTTTTTTTTTCCCCCTTTCTCTTTTTCAATCACTAAAAATTCTTACCCTGGGAAGGAAGATTCTGAAAGGCCCCAAAGATAATCTTTTCTATAATCTACTTTGTGGTATCTTTGTTTGTATAGAATTCCTTATATCATTTGTTAAGTATTCATGCTAATTTTGTTAGCTTCATTCCTCCCTGACAATCTTTGGCCTAAGTTAACAATATCTCTCTTTCCTCACCACACACCACATGCCTCAAATCTTACGCTGTGTAACTTCATCGATATTTTGTTATTTCTTTCAAAATCAGATTTATATTGTTATTTTAAAGGATACATTTTTTCCTTGTTTTCTTTCTCCAAGTACCACTCTTATTCTCTCCTGCCAGTGAAAAGATATGTGCTAACCTTTGAGCTGGGACCATGATGGTGGACCTGGTCCGTGGCCTGAATCACTTGTTCGTGCTATAGATAACCCCTGTAATATGCCTCATAAAACCACTTTTTTCCATCTTTGTTCATTTCCACAGCATCAGAACCTAGACCACTACCTGGGACATAGTAGATTTTCCATATATATTTGTTAAATAAGAGAATGGATAAACAAACGAATAAATTGAACTACTGCTCTGATCTTTGGACCATGAAACCCTGACCCGGTGACTTCTCTATCAAACCACAGAGAACGTAGCAGCTGGTGTTCACCTCACAAAGCCCTCAGTGGCTTTAGGAAATGAGCCATCAACTCTTCTCACTGAATCCATTTCTTGTTCTCCTGGCCCCCTCTCCAGCTCTGATCAACAGGAAAGTCTTGTGTCCACTCCCCAGGATGGTTGGGTGTATGGGAATTGGTGGTAGGCAGCCAAGGGCCACATGATGCCAGAATGTACCACCACAAACTGATATATTTCATCTCTGCCAGAGCCACAGAGGAAAAGCAGAGAATTTCTCTTAGATCAAGTTTTTCAACTATTCAGGTCTGTCAAAGTAGTAAGAAACTACAAATTTTCCTGCAGAGCTGACTAGGATTAGGGTTGCCAGATTTAGCAAATAAAAATACGGGACATCCAGTCAAATTTTAATTCTATTTAGCAACAAATAATTTTTAGTGTACACATGTATTGTTGTTGTGTGCCATCAAGTTGGTTCAGACTTGTGACCCTGTACAGGGTTTCCGAGGATTGGCTGGTGGGTTTGAACTGCTGACCTTGCAGTTACCAGTCCAGTGCTTATCCTACAGTGCAATACCAAGGCCCCATATGAATGTATAGGAATATGTTGTTGTTAAGTGCTGTCGAGTCAGTTCACAGGAATGTACTTATACTAAAAAAGGAGTTGTTGTTTATCTGATATTCAAATTTAACTGGGCATCTTCTACTTCACCTGGCAACACTACTAAGGAGCCTTCTACTCTGGCAGCATAGTGGGTTATGAGTTGGTCTGCTAACTGCAAGGTCAACAGTTTGAGTCTCCCAGCCACTCTGAGGGAGAAAAATGAGCCTTTCTGCTCCTGTAAAGATTCACAGCCTCAGAAACATGATCCAGGGCTTTGTGCATCAGAACTGAAGCCACGGCATATTACCACATGCTCTAAAATCCCATAATGAGTGTCTTGGGTAACCTTATTCTGTCAAATTACTTAGTGGAGACAAGACGATGTAACAAGTATCAGCTCCTTACAATCAGACAGACTCAGTTTCAAATTCCTGCCCCACAATATTGTCTGTGTGACTTTGCTTAAATTGCAATAATCTCTCTGGGCCTCATTTCATCTATAAAATGAATCATATAATACTTTCCCTTTAGGGTTTTGGGGAAGATTAAGTGAGATCATGTAAGTACTGTTTCTGATGTAAAGTTGTCAAAAAAGGTAACTATATACTTGACAATGAAGGATAAGCACTGGACCACAAGGTCAGTTTGAACTCCAAGGTCGGTGGTTCAAACTCACCAGTTACTCCTTGGAAACCTTAGGTAGTTTGACACTTAACAACAACAGACATTCTGGAAGTCAGAGAAGCCACGTGAACAAATCTATGATTGGGACACATATTCACCTAGACGCCTCTACCTTCCTTCCTTTTGGGAGAACTGCTGCAAAGCCCTTGTCACGTGCCAGAGATGGAACTGCCATCCACACAGCCCAGTGCCCTCTGCCTCCCTCATTCTCCTATTTTCTTACTCTTGTTCTCAAAATTCTCTTAGAAGTCTTTCTTGGATTCCTTTGACAATGCTAACAGAAACCCCAAAGAATTTCAATTTATACTCGGCTTCCATATTCCCCAGATTATGCTTCCTCTTTTTTTTCTTGCACATCTGCTCCGCATGTTTATATAATTTGGAAATTGTACCTCCATATTTGGACAGAGTTCATGTCTAATTGTAAATTTGATCCATTATACAATAGAACAGTCCTCAAAAGGAATTACAGAATAGTCACCTGATTACCCTCTAGATCCAATTGGCCCTCGGGATTTGCTGTATGGATAGTAGTTGCTTGTATTTCATAGACAATATTTCATTTTTGACCACTTAGGACTGTTGACCAATCCCTTCAGTGCTTCTGTTTTAGATTTGAAAGTTCTCTCTGCAAAATTTTTTGGGGAAATTGAACACATATATGATCTTTCCTGCCTTGGAAGTCAGTCCTGTCTGTCACAGATATCGGAAGTTAAGCACACCCTGACCTTGCTCTTCAATAATTCCAAGGATGTCTCAGGAGCAGAATAATCCATAATCTAGCATCAATTTGATTTTAGCTATTAGAGGTTTCATAATTTTAGAGGTGTCAGTTCATTCCTTGATGAAGCAGAAGCTTTTCCTGTTTTAAGTAATGTTAACTCTTCCCCTTTTGGAGATTATAAACCACCCTTCTGCAGAGAGAAGTAGATTTAGAAAAGCATATTTTAAGTCAGAGTTTTGTAAGGCATTGGGGGTAGTGTCACATTAGACCCCCAAGTGGCAGAGGCAGCTGTAGGAAACTACAGAGAATGATCCTCTTTACATTCCAGCTGAGGAAAATTACTTATAGAAGTTTCTTGGGGCAGGTTCACTGATGTTGCATTGATCCCCCCAGACTTCCACTCCCCTTTTTCTCAGCACAGATATAGGTAGATTAAGATAGAGTAGGACTGCCCCACAGGGTTTCCAAGGCTGTAAATCTTTACAGAAGTAGATTACCACGTCTTTCTCCTGCAAGGTGGTTGGTGGAGTCAAACCACCAGCCTTTTGGTTAGCAGCCAAGTGCTTTAACGCTGCGCTATGAGGGCCCCTGATAGGCTAATAGACAATCCCATTGTTGACTGACTAAGAAAAAGGGAAGTAGGAGGAGCACTGTCTCCTCCAATGAAGGAGTGGGGTCTATAAATGTCCTCCAGGATCCTGCTGAGGTGGAAACAATCAAATGATTCTGAAGGTCAAGAAAGATCAAAACCAAAGTCAATCAAAAATCAAAACAAAATTCCAGAATGGAACCAACAAATACTTTAACCTCAGAGAGGAGGGGGTTAAGCCACCCATACTGTACCCGGCTATTCTTATGGTTTCTCTGGACTTGCTCTCTCCTCACTCTCATATCAGCCTCTTGGTGCCTGAGCCAATTTTTCAAGCACATCCTGGGAGAAAAGAACTGCTTGCTCTGTGGTCATTTAGAG